AGTAATAAACGATCAGATATCTAATCTCAACGTTAAAACGGCGGAGGATATAATTAGTAAACTGTTTGATAAAACTGACAAAATTAGTCTCTGCCAAGAAGAATTATCTACAGTAGATTCGTCTTTAATTAACGGACAAATTAGTTTTGACGAGAAGAAGGATGATACTATTGATGATAGCTTTTATAAATTTAAACAAGAAAATTCGAAAGATACTAAACTTGTTAAATGTGTAACACAAAGGAACGATCAAGTGACCAACTTTGATACAAAGGAGATAGAGGAGGCGATTAATCGGTTACTTGATAAGGTAAATCTAAAGAGCTTTCCTTTTAACAAAGGTCAGTCGAATAAAATTTCATCTACAACAATATCACCATCAATGAATAAATTTGCTAATTGTGATATAAAGAAAACTAATGAGGTAATTGGCACTCTTTTTAATAATTTCGGTAAAGAAAATAGAGAGAATCCTTGCAGAATGCAACCGTGCACGGCAGTGTCACCACTTTTATGCTGTGCGCTGCAAAAGATAAATGAGAAAAATTGCACCCCCACGATCTTGGCTTATTTAGCCGTAACGGTCCATACTCTACATTGTCAAGTCGTGCCGGATCTGCTGGTTTATATGGCAACAGATTTGATTAACCTGCCAGTTTATAAATACTTGCAAAGTTGGTCAAGTAACAAGCAACCTATTTCCTTGAAGGATAAGTTGCCGTCTTTAAGATTATTGCATGAACTGAGTAGTATACTGTTGGCAGATTCCAAGATTCTGTTGGACTTGATTGAATTTTCTAAATTGTTTAACGATGGTCATTCGACATATTGTTTTAAATACAGCGGCAAGGAAGTCACTATTAAGTACTCCTTATCTTTGTACGATGTCAAGACGTTGTTGAAAATGACTGTATTTTATTTAGCACAGTTAGCACAGTCTAAAATCTTACGACAAAACGAAAATTGCAAACTTATGCTTGCGTTTTTATTAAGCATTCAACAATCTATCGGATTAAATCAAAATAACGTAGCAATACTTGAAGGAAATGCAAGATGTATCTTCACTCATTTTATTTTATTGCATTATTTCTCGCCATTTTGTGAAGAAATTTCGAAAGATTCGGTGGAATATATGATCACTGAAACTATCCTGAAAGTCTGTGAGTCTGTTTTGAATTTGTACAAACATGATGATGCAAGGAT